GAAATTAAAGATTATGATGATCACATATTAAATGATGATATTACCTTGATAGAAGTGACACATGCTATCAAAAAGCTAAAACGAAATAAATAAATCTTCTGGTATTGATAACATTGAAAATGACTATCTTATTGATTCCTCTGATCTACTTGGTCCTTTGTTTGTTGATTATTTCAATGTGATATTATCCACAGGAATAATGCCCGAAGCATGGTTGACTGGCACTATCAGACCTATATACAAAGGTAAAGGCCAGAAATCAGACCCCAATGCCTATAGACCAATCACTATTTTAAGCTGCTTTGGAAAGCTTTTCACTAGTATATTGAACAACAGACTGAACATTTTCTTGGAAACAAACAATATTTTAACCCCTGCGCAGGCAGGCTTTAGGAAAGAACATTCCACAAACGACAACATATTTGTTTTGAACATGCTTACTCAGATTTTAAAGGCCTGTAAAAGAAAGTTATATTGTGCTTTCATTGATTTTTCTTAAGCTTTTGATAATGTATGGAGGATTGGACTTTGGCAAAAAATAGTTAACAATGGAATTACAGGTAAATTTTTTACGCTTATACAAAACATGTATGCAAATATCAAATCTTGTGTATGTTCAAATGATAAGGTCTCAGATTATTTTCAGTGTTATTCGGGCGTCCGCCAAGGGGAAAATCTTTCACCTCTTTTATTTTGTTTATTCATAAATGATTTAGAACAATTTCTCATCGATGACAGTTGTAAAAGTGTTATGCTCGAGAATGTAAACATACAGTTATGTCTATCATTTATTGTACTTCTTTATGCCGACGACACTGTCCTGTTTGCTGATTCTGCATCCGAACTACAGAGTACCTTAGATTCTTTTAGCAAATACTGTAAAATTTGGAAATTAGAAGTGAATCTTGATAAAACGAAAGTCTTAATTTTTGGAAGTGGCCCTGCTAATAATAGTAAACTTAATTTTGTCTTTGAACAATCTCCAATTGAAATTGTAGATAACTATACTTATCTTGGAGTGACATTTAGTAGAAATAGGAAATTTTATCTATCAATCAAAAACCTTGCAGCAAGCGCATCCAAAGCAATGTTTTGTCTTTTAAAAAAATCTAGAAATCATAATATCCTGTTGGACTGTTTACTTAAGGCATTTGATGTTATGATAGCCCCAATTCTTTTGTATGGCTGCGAAACTTGGGCATATGAAAATTTAAATATAATTGAAAAAACATTTGAAATTTTTGAAATTGGCCAGCGGTTTACGAAATTCTACCCCTACTTTTATGGTATATGGAGAACTCGGAAGATTTCCTTTATATATCACTGCAGCTAAGCGTATTATTTGTTATTGGCATAAACTTAATAATCCTGGAATGCAGCAGAAATTATCAAAACTGATCAACAATTATGCATATGCACAAAGTATCTTTGAGAATGATTTTGATCCCTGGATGCATCATGTTAAATCTTTATTAGATAAATGTGGCTTATCTTTTGTATTCTATAACCCTGTAAGCGTACCATGCCAATGGCTAGTTTCACAAGTGGAGACTGTATTAAAAGACCAGTTCCAACAAAGTTGGAAAGCTGATATTGAAAATAGCTCTAAGGGATTTTATTATAAACATATTAAAGATACTCCCATATTTGAAAACTATCTTCTCTTCCCAGCGTATATTTACTCTTCTATTTTGAAATACAGAACCTGTAATCACAATCTCCCGGTAGAAACTGGTCGTTGGCATGGTATCGCAAGAAAAAACAGAACATGTAAACTTTGCAATTCACCAGCAATAGGCGGCGAATTTCATTACTTATTTAGATGTGAAGCCCTTACAGATATTAGATAGAAATATTTACCAACTAGACACATGTACTTCCCCAATTTATCAACATTGAAGAAAATATTTAATAGTAGAAATTCAAAAGAAATAAGAAATCTATCCAAATATCTGCTAGCATTAGATAAACTCTTTGTCAAAAATGGTTAAACCTCAATCATCTCTTTCTATAGACAATAAATTACTTAATAGATCTTAATTTATGGCATAATTCTGTTTCATTTTAAACTGTTCTACCTGTCATTTTGTCATGTTTATTTATATGTATTTAAATGGATTATGTTTGATTTTCTCTTGTACCACCAAACGTGGTTATTTGAGAATAAACTGAACTTGAACTTGAACTTGGTAACTAGGCGTGTACGGGGGTCCGGTTGGCGATGGATAAAGTCAGGTTCTGTATTACATATAACAGGATATTGTTTGTCCATATCGACATGAGGCCGAACTGTATCAGCCTTAAGTCTGCGCCTGGTGCACGCTAAACAAAACGAAAGACCGCTTAAATTACATATGTGAAAGAAGGATACTGCACACAGGTCTGTCTGAATTGTTTTGATTATATCATTTTTTTCTTATTTTGCATTATTATTTTTTGGATATCTATTAATTAGCATTTATGTTCAAGTATACATTTTTTTTACATTCTACTTACACATATTGAATTTAGCCATTGCTATTTTTTTTTCAAAGGGGTTGGGGGTCGGGTGGGGGATTCGATAAGGTTGTTGTATAACTCTCTCTCTCTCTATCTCTCTCTCTCTCTCTCTCTGTCTCTGTCTCTCTCTCTGTCTCTCTCTCGCACGCGCGTTCATGACAACAGAGACTGTGCGCACTCATTTCACTTGTGTTGAAGTGTACCTTCACAGCAATGTCAATGTGACACTGCAGTATTTTGAATTGTCTGCCCTGTTTCATAATACCGAAAGAAGGGTCTTGTCAACAGCACAGATCAATCGTTGGTTAGTGACATGTCAGGACGAGGAAAGATTTTGGATGCATCAGACATTCATCTTGTAAGTTTGTTTGGACTATTTCCATTAATTCAGCTTATTCCTCGTCACCACATATACCCCAGTAAATGTACACATTGTACAGTGTTTGTATTATCTCATGGCGTCCTGGGGAATACACCAGTAAGTGTACACATTGTACAGTGTTTGTATTATCTCATGGTGACCTGGGGAATACACCAGTAAGTGTACACATTGTACAGTGCTTGTATTATCTCATGGCGTCCTTGGCAAATACCCCAGTAAATGTACACATTGTACACTGTTTGTATTATCTCATGGCGTCTTGGGGAATACACCAGTAAGTGTACACATTGTACACTGTTTGTATTATCTCATGGCGTCCTGGGCAAATACCCCAGTAAATGTACACATTGTACAGTGTTTGTATTATCTGATGGCGTCCTGGGGAATACACCAGTAAGTGTACACATTGTACAGTGTTTGTATTATCTGATTGCGTCCTGGGCAAATACCCCAGTAAATGTACACATTGTACACTGTTTGTATTATCTCATGGCGTCTTGGGGAATACACCAGTAAGTGTACACATTGTACACTGTTTGTATTATCTCATGGCGTCTTGGGGAATACCCCAGTAAATGTACACATTGTACAGTGTTTGTATTATCTCATGACGTCTTAGGAAAATACCCTGGTAAATGTACACATTGTACACTGTTTGTATTATCTGATGGCGTCCTGGGGAATACACCAGTAAGTGTACACATTGTACAGTGCTTGTATTATCTCATGGCGTCCTGGGCAAATACCCCAGTAAATGTACACATTGTACACTGTTTGTATTATCTCATGGCGTCTTGGGGAATACACCAGTAAGTGTACACATTGTACACTGTTTGTATTATCTCATGGCGTCCTGGGCAAATACCCCAGTAAATGTACACATTGTACAGTGTTTGTATTATCTCATGACGTCTTAGGAAAATACCCTAGTAAATGTACACATTGTACAGTGTTTGTATTATCTCATGACGTCCTTTGGAATACACCAGTAAGTGTACACATTGTACAGTGTTTGCATTATCTCATGGGTCTTGGGGGATACTCCAGTAAATGTACACATTGTACAGTGTTAGTATTATCTCATGGTGTCATGGGCAAATAACCTAGTAAATGTACACATTGTACAGTGTTTGTATTATCTCATGGCGTCCTGGGGAATACACCTGTAAGTGTACACATCGTACAGTGTTTGTATTATCTCATGGCGTCCTAGGGGAATACACCAGTAAGTGTACATATTGTACAGTGTTTGTATTATCTGATTGCGTCCTGGGGGAATACACCAGTAAGTGTACACATTGTCGAAAGAGGCCGAGAAACGGGATTGGCTTGTCAGACTCGCTGATTTACTTGACACTAGTCACCGTATCCCATGTGCGTAGAGCGATGGTCATGCTGTTTAGAAAAGCTGGATTGTTTGGTCCATATTCGATTATTTATAGGCCACCGTCATCAAGCTGGAATATTGCTGAGTGCATAGCGTCTGTTGCAGGGGTTCCCTTCTAATCTGAAAGCTTTGACGGTTGTTTAATTGGGTGTCCAGAGTATGTCTTAAGACGCCATGTACAAGACAGCATTAAACCAGTGTTGGTGTGTGACTTGATACACGTGGCACCAGGGACTGGAGGGGTGTAGGGAAGGGATTAGGGCAGCCGTTGTTAAACCGTTCGCTTTTCGCGCCACATGTTTACCAACATCCGAAAGGATCCCGTGGTCAGGCTCAACTGCGTACAGCGATGATCATGTTGTTTATCACTGGGTTGTCTGGTCATGATTGGATTATTTACAGACGGCCGCCATATAGTTGGACTATTGCTGAGTGCGGCGTAAAACAGCACACCCAATAACTAACCCACACGGATGCAACATGTAAAAGCCATTTATAACTCAAAACACAGATAATTAGTTGAAATGTGTTTGTGTCATTATGATAGCTAAAAGGCTACAGTCAATCCATTTGATTTAGATCGTACAAGCATTGTCATTGGCTGTGACGCACGTTTATTGTGTCCGACTGTACCCATGTGGTATACAGACCGCACGGCCACGCCTGCTGACTGTCCTCACCCATCACAAGTTGAGTCTAACATGAATTAGGCTGCTTTTGTAAGGCAGGGGTGAAGATCAACTACCCCTCTGGCACGTCGAGGTCCACCCCAGTGTGTGACGCTTCATCAGACACAGTCTCACGTCAACGTCACTGTTCCAGGAGGGGTGAAGATCAACTGCCCCTCTGGCACGTCGAGGTCCACCCCAGTGTGCGACGCTTCATCAGACACAGTCTCACGTCAACGTCACTGTTTCAGGAGGGGTGAAGATCAACTGCCCCTCTGGCACGTCGAGGTCCATCCCAGTGTGTGACGCTTCATCAGACACAGTCTCACGTCAACGTTACCGTTCCAGAAGGGGTGATGCAGACATAAGAACAATGTTGGACAGAGTTCTGGTATTCCTACTACTGGGTAAGTTAATGCTGTGTGAACTATCTACATACAGTTAGCATCACGTTATTATCAACTACTGGCACAGAGTACAGCACTAAACATCAACTGACTCAGAACTTTAAAATATTAACGCTTTAACTGCCATTTTCAATAGGGAATTTTCTATAAACAATCACACACTACTACGGTATTCACAGATATATGCACATCCTCATAGTGCTGACATGCAGTTCTCATAAAACTGGAAACATGCAATATTAACTACAATATTTCTCGCGAGGGCCCGTGGCTTTGGTTGCTGGTGACGTAGAAAGATTTCATTTTGTGTTGATTACTAATTCTCTCTTGTTGTGAAACAAGTTTTAAACACAGAAAGTAACACAGTTCCATACGTACTGTCTACACTGGAAGAATTATGGATGACAACTTCTTTTTTACTGTATGTCACAACGTCTCTGGGCTATTTACTTGCAGTGTTGCATGTATACTACCCATCAAAAGTTTAGACTCGCTAGTGTAAATGTAGCCACTTACTTCAGTCAACTGTTCTAAACTATATTTTGCAAAATATTCCACACTGTTTAAAGGTACTGTTTACACATGTACCAATGTGCTGTAAAAAAAATCGAAACGTTGAAATGATTATTGTCACGAGTTCAATAAATGGTGAAACTCAGTGAAAATTGACGAAGTTTTAACAAACTTTACACTAAAACGCATCTGTTCACATGTACGATATTTGCACATGCTTTTCAGCAATTTGATGCTTGATCCTCGTGCAACCCATCTGCGTAAGGTTTGCAGTTGTTGAGAAATTCATCTTCGATGTAACCATATATATATATATATATATATATATATATATATATATATATGTGTGTGTGTGTGTTTGTATATATAGAGAGAGACAGCCTGACAGACAGACAGACAGACAGACAGATAACATATTGTGAGTTCTTTAAGGGAGTAGTATATATACAATAAACTGGATAAGAAACAGGAGATGAAAGAGTGAGATGCACAGACATTGTTTACACAAGGGAATAGTTTATACAAGTGATTAGCAGATTTGGGTCGAAGCCAGTAATTACTTGACTTCCCAGGCACTGGGCAGGTACACTCCTTGATCCCTGTTCAGCAGCTTGTATGAATGTATATTTGTTTCTAGTCACGGTATGGTTCACCTAACTCATTCTCCCTTTCAGTTGGAGGTGTAAGGGGACAGGGGTGTCCTGTGGGGAAGTACGGAGACAACTGTAAACTGAACTGCAGTCGTTACTGTGCCCCTTATGACGGACAGAAAGTTTACTGTGACAAACAGACTGGAAGATGTTCAGAAGGATGCATCCGTGGAAAGTATGGTGACCGGTGTCATCTAACCTGCAGCAGGAACTGTAAGAAGCACATATGCAGTTTCCAGACAGGACACTGTGTCCAGGGCTGTGAAGGCAGCAACACAGGGCATTTCTGTGAGACCTCCCAAGGTATGTAATGATAGGGGAATCATCTCCTGGCTAGGTTACTTTGACACCTCTCAAGGTATGTACATTGATTACTGCCAGTCATTCCCTTGATTCATTTCGATTATTACTGTCAATGACTTAGATGATTACTTTCAGTCATTTTGTCGATTACTGTCAGTCATTTCATTGATCACTGTCAGTCATTTCATTCATTACTTCCAGTCATTCCATTGATTCATTTCGATGATTACTTTCAGATATTTTATTGATCACTGCCAGTCATTTCATTGGTCGCTATTACTTATTTCATTGGTCACTACCGCTCATTTCATTGGTCACTACCAGTCATTTCATTGGTCACTAACACTCATTTCATTGGTCACTAACACTCTTTTCATTGGTCACTAACACTCATTTCATTGGTCACTAACACTCATTACATTGGTCACTACCTGCCATTTCATTGGTCACTGCCAGTCATTTCATTGGTCAGTACCTGCCATTTTGTTGGTCACTAACGCTCATTTGATTGGTCAGTACCAGTCATTTCATTGGTCACTACCAGTCATTTCATTGGTCACTACCACTCATTTCATTGGTCACTTACAGTCATTTCATTGGTCACTACCACTCATTTGATTGGTCGATGACATTTATTTCATTGGTCACTACCAGTCATTTCATTGGTCACTAACACTCATTTCATTGATCACTACTACTCATTTCATCGATCACTAACTCTCATTTCATTGATCAATATCATTCATTACATTGGTCACTGCCAGTCATTTCGTTGTTCACTAACAATCATTTCACTGGTCATTACCAGTCATTTCATTTGTCACTACCAGTCATTTCATTGGTCACTACCAGTCATTTCAGTGATTACTATTATTTATTTCATTGGTCACTACCTGTCATTTCATTGGTCACTGCCAGTCATTTCATTGGTTACTATTATTTATTTCATTGGTCACTGCCAGTCATTTCATTGGTCAATGCAAGTCATTTCCTTGGTCACTACCAGTCATTTCATTGGTCAGTTCCAGTCATTTCCTTGGTCACTACCACTCATTTCATTCGTCAATGACACTCATTTCATTGGTCACTACCTGTCATTTAACTGGTTACTATTATTTATTTCTTTGGTCACTACCTGTCATTTCATTGGTCACTGCCAGTCATTTCATTGGTTACTATTATTTATTTCATTTGTCACTACCAGTCATTTCATTGATAACTACCACTCATTCATTGGTCACTGCCAGTCATTTCAATGTTCACCAACACTCATTTCATTGGTCACTACCAGTCATTTCATTGGTCACTACCAGTCATTTCATTGGTAACTACCAGTCTTTTCATTGGTCACTGCCAATCATTTCATTGGTCACTGACATTTATTTCATTGGTTACTACCAGTCATTTCATTGATCTCTACCTGTCATTTCATTGGTCACTAACACCCATTTCATTTGCCAGTACCAGTCATTTCATTGGTCACTACCAGTCATTTCAGTGGTCACTAACACTCATTACATTGGTCACTGCCACTCATTTCATTGGTCACTGCCACTCATTTCATTAATCCCCACCAGTCATTTCTTTGGTCACTATCTGTCATTTCATTGTTCACTACCAGTCATTTCATTGGTCACTGCCAGTCATTTCAGTGGTCACTACCAGTCATTTCATTCGTCAATAACACTCACTTCATTAATCACTGACACTTATTTCATTGGTCACTACCATTCATTTGATTGGTCACTACCAGTCATTTCATTGGTCACTACCATTCATTTCATTGGTCACTGACACTTATTTCATTGGTCACTATCAGTCATTTCATTGGTCACTAACACTCACTTCATTAATTACTGACACTTATTTCATTGGTCACTACCATTCATTTCATTGGTCACTACCAGTCATTTCATTGGTCACAACCATTCATTTCATTGGTCACTGACACTTATTTCATTGGTCACTGCCAGTCATTTCATTGGTCACTAACACTTACTTCATTTATCACTGACACTTATTTCATTGGTCACTACCTTTCATTTGATTGGTCACTACCAGTCATTTCATTGGTCACTAAGATTCATTTCATTGGTCACTGACACTTATTTCATTGGTCACTACCAGTCATTTCATTGGTCACTGCCAGTCATTTCATTGGTCACTGCCAGTCATTTCGTTGGTCACTGCCAGTCATTTCGTTGGTCACTGCCAGTCATGTCGTTGGTCACTGCCAGTCTATTCGTTGGTCACTGCCAGTCATTTCGTTGGTCACTGCCAGTCATTTCGTTGGTCACTGCCAGTCATTTCGTTGGTCACTGCCAGTCATTTCATTGTCCACTACCTGTCATTTCATTGGTCACTGCCAGTCACTTCATTGGTCACTGCCAGTCATTTCGTTGGTCACTGCCAGTCATTACGTTGGTCACTGCCAGTCATTTCATTGTCCACTACCTGTCATTTCATTGGTCACTGCCAGTCACTTCATTGGTCACTGCCAGTCATTTCGTTGGTCACTGCCAGTCATTTCGTTGGTCACTGCCAGTCATTTCATTGTCCACTACCTGTCATTTCCTTGGTCACTGCCAGTCACTTCATTGGTCACTGTCAGTCATTTCGTTGGTCACTGCCAGTCATTTCGTTGGTCACTGCCAGTCATTTCATTGTCCACTACCTGTCATTTCATTGGTTACTGCCAGTCATTTCATTGGTCACTGCCAGTCATTTCGTTGGCCACTGCAAGTCATTTCATTGTCCACTACCTGTCATTTCGTTGGTCACTGCCAGTCATTTCGTTGGTCACTGCCAGTCATTTTATTGTCCACTACCTGTCATTTCATTGGTCACTGCCAGTCATTGCGTTGGTCACTGCCAGTCATTTCGTTGGTCACTGGCAGTCATTTCATTGGTCACTGCCAGTCATTTCGTTGGTCACTGCCAGTCATTTCATTGGTCACTGCCAGTCATTTCATTGGTCACTGCCAGTCATTTCGTTGGAAACACTGCCAGTCACTTCGTTGGTCACTGCCAGTCATTTTATTGTCCACTACCTGTCATTTCATTGGTCACTGCCAGTCATTTCGTTGGTCACTGCCAGTCATTTCGTTGGTCACTGCCAGTCATTGCGTTGGTCACTGCCAGTCATTTCGTTGGTCACTGCCAGTCATTTCGTTGGTCACTGCCAGTCATTTCGTTGGTCACTGCCAGTCATTTCATGCAAACACAAAATGTTATAAATTGTATTTGATAACTAATAATAAACAATAGACAAACCAAGAATCCTAAATCAAAGATAGTTCATGAGGTCATGACCTATGAGGCCATGACTGCAAGATAGACGATTCTCACGTATATATGCAGGAACACTTCACATGACACACTTTTATTACCAGGTTTATGTGTCGCGCTTTAAGCTTATTATGTCACAGAATGATTAGTAATTAACAATAGAAAAAACCATATTATTTGAATGATAGAACCATACATAGTTCATGAAGTCGTTGTATAAAACGTTAAGGATATATGGTTAGGTTATATAGTTTAACATTTTCACATAAAAGTGTAACAACTCTTTACCAAATACATTTTCACTACCACGTTTAATCATAATGAAGCAGTATTGACACATGTGTATTATTTTACAGAACCTGGCTCAAAACAAGATGCTGCTTCATCACCACTGGTTCCGATACTTGTTCCAGTGTTGGTCATAGCCATCATCATCATCATCATCATCACTGCAGTGACTGTGATCTGCAGGTGGCGCAGAAGGTATGACTATTTTCATTGAAACATGATTAGTGTAGTTGCCTATCAAAGATGTGCTATTTAGACTCCACTGCTTGTTACCATAAACCCTGGCACCACGTGTGTGCACCGCGAGTGTGTTTCTTACCTGGTATGTCAATTGATGGAATTGTCAAAATACCAAGCAAGCAGAATTTCTTTAGTCCTCTGCACACCACATGAGAACAGTCTTATTATAAGTTGTTCCATATGCAATAATGAAAACGAGAAACAAAGTATTCCACACTGAAAACAGATCAATAATTATTCCAATATGTTTGTTTGTTTGTTTACTTTTAGTTGTGTTATTTGTTGGTTGTTCTGTTTCAGGTTTCATCATAGAAGTAAGTATAACATCAGAGGCTGCCGAATTCAAGTGGTTTCACATATCAATACACAATGGAGTTCTGGCAACTTCTGTGTATCAGTTTTGTTAGGGAGTACATTTGGTACAGTTATCTCACAGCCTGGCAGTGCGAGGAAAGGCCAAACTGTTGTAAGTCTTTGATGCCGCTTGAACAAACACAGAACACAACGATTTGAATCCATGTGGAAAGGTTCTTGGCGTGCTAAGTGTCAGGAGAGTTCTGTGTGTACAGGAATGTGGGCAAGCGGTTGACTGAGACACATTCCACTCTTCAGTTGTAACAGCCCAAGGTTGTGTCTACACAGACTTATTTACTGAACGTAATCTACCTAAGTTGTAACCCCTGGAGGAGACAATACATAAAGGCAACTGTACCTGTGATCTACTTGATTACTTCTCCCTTATTGTGATATTTAGTAACAAGTACGAACAGCTCTTGAAATACACAATGCCATTTAGAAAGTGGTCAGATGTAACATATGTTATATTTGGGATTACACTTTCTTACTTATTTGGCATTGTGTATTTCATAGCTTTTGGCAGTGGGAGCCGTGCCAATAATTAACACTTATCAGAGGGGTACACAAAGTCCGCAGTCTAAACTACCAGTTGTCCGACTTCCATTTTTGTGGAAGCCGCGGTGGCTGAGCGGTCTAGGCGTCTGTCTGACTCTGAGGGTGTGGGTTCGAATCCCGGATGGGACTCAAACACAACAAAAGTACTAGAATCTGCTCTCTGCTAAGAAAGTTTTAATCCCAAATATAACAGATGTTACACGAAAAGCTCTTCTCTTCATTTTAGCTTTATAATTCCCGGTGTTTTATATGACTGAAAGGTATATCTACACATACAGTATAAGACATGTACAGGAAGGTAAAGGTGACTAAAAGCCTAACGAGGAGCTCCTTTAGTACCATTCTCTATTTTCATTTTCTCTTTGTCAGGCCCGACAGACATGGACTGTGAAGAAAGGCTTATCCCTTGTAGAGGTAAGAATGCAGTTGCAAGTATTTGTGATAGTTTAACTTGTACCGTACCGTTCATGAAGGTCTAGGCATCTTCATTTCAAACTTCAAAAATACAAAATGTCATATATGCCAATAATACTATAGCGGAAATGCTATTAATGGTCATTTCGGGTCATTTTGGTCAAAGTAACATGAACTTTAGTACATGAGCACGTGGTAGTGATGCTTAATATGTAATCGTTCTTTGATTAAGATGTTTACTTCTAACGTACTGAAATCCTCGCGTGTACTCAGTTGGACTTGTTTGTTTTACCTTTTGTTGGTTTGTAAGATTCATATATATGATCACCAGTATGATCTTGGTGTTACAGAGGACACTGACCTCCATGTCGCCTGCATGGACGGGAACCTACAGCGAGTCAGAGACATTCTGGACCAGAGTTTGGAGGACATCAACAAGCAGGGGAAAAGAGGAATGACACCAGTGATGTGGGCAGCAAGAAGGGGACACAGAGAACTGGTTGACTTACTTGTGAAGAAAGGTGCTAGTCTGATACTTGTGGACGATGCCGGTAACAACATCCTTCACTGGGCCTGTTATGGAGAGCATGTAGCAATGGTGGAACATATCGTCTCAAAGAACATAGTGGACACCGACAGAAAAGGGCGGGATGAGAGAACCCCACTGATGTGTGCAGCTCGGCAGGGGGAACTAGACATGTTTCAGTTACTTGCAAGCAAAGGGGGTCTTCCTTCACATGTAGACAGAGATGGAAACAACATCCTTCATCTCGCCTGTTGGGGTGGGAATGAGAAGATTGTGAGCTACATCCTCTCACATGACGACGTGGACATCGATGGTAGAGGACAATGCGGGAAGACTCTATTGATGGCGGCAGCATACAGAGGACATGGAAAGATCTTCGACCTACTTGTGACCAAAGGGGCTGATCTCACAGTAGTTGATGATGCTGATGACAACGTCCTCCATGCGGCATGTCTGGGGACACATGTGAATATTGTGAACCGTGTCCTGGATCTGGCCAGGGTGGACATAAACAGTCGTGGTCAGTTCAGTAGGACACCACTGATGATGGCAGCAAGGATGAGGGATAGAAGAATATTTGACTTACTTGTGAAAGAAGGAGCTGATGCAACACCAGTGGATGATGATAGTAACACCATCCTCCATCATGCTGCTGAGGGAGGGAATGTTGATATAGTGAAGCATGCCCTCGGGGTGAAGAATGTGGACATCAACGCCAAGAACAAGCGTAACGAAACACCGACCATGCTGGCGACAAAAGGTGGTGACGTGTGTAACCTCCGGGTACAACGTGGTGGACTCATACAGTAACTGAAAGAAAAGGACTGGTTAATTCTCCAGATGGAAATGCCTGTATGATAAAATAGTTCCACTGCTTATCTGAAATGTTGTCAGCTTTGTATTCCTCCTCATCGTGTGTAGGACGAAGGTCAAATGAAGATAAACAAAGCCTTCCCATGAAATGCAGACATTACTGATCGGAATATTCTGCATGCAGTAACAGTTGCAGCTGATTCGATTCCATGGTAGTCACACCCTCTGCTCAAACATTGGAAAGACATCTGCCTCACTGTCCCGAGGTCAGCAAATGTAAACAATATAGTACATCCTCCATGTCATAGTTGAGGGACATATCCGGGTTTTCTTACTGAATGACCGGTGTCAGTTGGAAAGGAGATATGGGATAATTTTTAATTTACCCGAAGTCTTTATTGTGCAATGTGGACTTCAGAGCAATAATGGACACCTTGTTCTGAATGAACCGAAATACTGGGGGGTGTCATATAACTGAACAATTCAGATGTACTTCTTATTTATTGAATGGAATGTCATTTCAATTTCTTATACCGTTATCAAGGTGACATATACGTGTAGAATGCGATCAGAAAATTGAACTATTGGGATTTGCACATAGCAGAAAGGCATAATATGGGTACAGCATTTGAAAACATCCTTTATGCAGGGAGGCATTCGGGGACGTAAATTTGCATTCCCTAGAAATGGGAAGTGTATCGAAACAAGGAGGCCAGCCAGGTAGGAAGAGATCAGTCCAGATGACGGAGCACAACCTGTCGTATGACTTGTAGGTTCTGTTTTGATCCTAACATTCTGGCATTACCTTCTGTTCCTGTGACAACCCAGGTGGTACATTCCTTGCTGTAGGTGCATCCCCCCACTGATATGTAGGGAACAGTACAGTCTTCGTCTTGGCTGAGTAGGAGTTTCAGGAAATCAAACTGAATAAGGGCTGGCAACTTGTAACAAAAGAATAGATTCCGCTGTCCGCTCTGTGTCAGCCGGCATCAGGAACAGCATGAGCTCCTCCTTTAGATGACATCATTGCTGGACAATATGACATGTAGTCACTTAAAGGTCAGGCAGTCAGCTTGCACGTCCAAACACGCACCTCGTCGTATCCCATCCACCAAGACAGTCGGTTGGTGTGCGCATGAACATTTGCGGTGTCTCAACACATAGAGGCAGGACACAGGATCTGCTGCAATATGTTCCCCGCTGCTCCTCTATCTTGCTTTGATAGAGGAGTGATGGAACAAATCCGGGTTGTCCACCACACCAATGTATGTTTGTTGCTGTATATCGTAGAGGATGTATTATCATTAGCCACGTTTACATGTGTCAATTACACCACTATGTAATATTTAGTTAGCTGTCGAACTGTCTGCAAACAGTCCTGTTGTTTACACCGATACTTAATGTCATGTTTCCGGTCAGTTAATGCAATGGACGACATTTCCCTTTCTTACACACATAGCATGAAAGCTGAGCGAAAAAGTTTGTGATAGTTGTCTCCCTTATACCATAACAATCCTTCGGTCAAAATAAAACAGCTAAAGCTGGAACTATTAAGATTCCATGAACACAAAGAAAGTATATAATGTTTAAACTGCAATAGTGAATCTATGTACAGGTGAATCCATGTTATTCGGTAACTTGCGGTCGCTAGCCCCATTTATATTGTGTTCGTAACTGATAGTGACAATTGATTGATTGATTATGATAATATTGTTATTATACAATCCTTTTTGGAGACATAAATGGAAGTATGCTTAATATTAATATACGATTTGTCTCGTCACGATATTTCTGAATTATTGCCGATGTGGCGGTACATGTTTAATACTCACTCATTCCATAACCAACCCCCAATCCTAAATAAGACCACGCCCTGTTTTTATATTGGCTGATAACATTTTGCATTATTTCACTGATCCGATCTTGTACCCCTGTAATTCCTGCAATCCGATTTGCTGAACATTCAACTGATAGTGATAATTGATTGTGATGATTGTGATAATTTTCGGCGGCAGGACTTAAAAAATGTCAGTATGCTTGATATCAATAATATGATTTAGTCTCGTCACGATATTTCTGAAATATTGCCGATGTGACGGTGCATTTAACTCACTCACTCCATACTCCACCCCAACCCCTAAATAAGGCCATGTCCACTAAATGACCACTGTTTTCATATTGACTGGTAATGTTGTGTATTTTTTCACTGAATCATAACACCGATCTCTAGCCCCTGGAATTCCAGTATTCTGATTTGCTGAATTGGTCATATGTTTTCAATTAGCAATGAGCATAAAAATTAAACCAAGCCCACCTCCTAATTTCAACTCAAGGGACAGCCGTGGAATTCCAATATTACAGTCGTACATACATGTACAACCGTTTCTACTTCACATGCATGTATAGAATTCACACAGTTTCATTTTTATCAGTTCATACCTCCATGAACAGAAAACATTACACAGTCAATCCTTAAATACGTTTCATTCAGGAACCAACCAGGACTAAAACAGATAACAGATAGCTCCCGTCCACTCCCTGCTACTGTATTCGGTGTAGCCTGGTTTCATCATGTTGTTATTTTTGTACTTATGCTGTGATATATCTGCTTAATGTGGATATGTGTGTCAGAATAAATAAAACGTGGACTTGACATTACAATGTTTTACAAGTTTACAAATTCCATTCAGTTGGTTGCTTGTATTTGTTTAGTAAAGCAAGATTCACTTCTTTGAGTTGCAAAATTCAGTCTAAAATTTGACTGAGTTCCTGGCCCAAGCTCCACTGTACTGTCTTCACAAGCCACTGCAACAACATCCATTGTCCATCCCATCGGACCCTTTCACATTTTTCATTGTCATTGGCGTTTTAAAGGACACTTGAGGCTTTAAAACATTTATATATATTTCTTCTTGATTCTATGTTTCAACTTGCATGTTGTTGTAATATCTGGCCTGTGACTTTTCTGCTCCATCTCAATACAGGTATATTGTGTGAAGTCGGCTTGCTATTTCAGTTTATGACACATGTGGGTTTAAGATATTTATATTCATTGTTCAAATTCATTGCGTGGTTTATCGAATATTTCAATATGAACTTGCAAGGTGTTGTTGTACGGCTGTAGCTTAAATAAAACTTTTTACATTTATCACTCACGGGGAGCTGTGTAGCCATGTATCATGGACGGGAGATTAAATAATGACAGATATTGTATTTTGAATCTTCGTATATCGCTCACAGGGAGCTGTGCAGCCATGAATCATGGACGGGAGATTAAATAATGACAGATATAGTATTTTGAATCTTCATTTATCGCTCACAAGGAGCTGTGTAGCCATGTATCATGGACGGGAGATTAAATAATCACAAATATAGTATTTTGAATCTTCATTTATCGCTCACAGGGAGCTGTGTAGCCATGTACCATGGACGGGAAATTAAATAATCACAAATATAGTATTTTGAATCTTCATTTATCGCTCACAGGGAGCTGTGTAGCCATGTATCATGGACGGGAGATTAAATAATGACAGATATAGTATTTTGAATCTTCATTTATCGCTCACAGGGAGCTGTGTAGCCATGTATCATGGACGGGAGATTAAATAATGACAGATATAGTATTTTGAATCTTCATTTATCGCTCACAAGGAGCTGTGTAGCCATGTATCATGGACGGGAGATTAAATAATGACAGATATAGTATTTTGAATTTTCATTTATCGCTCACAGGGAGCTGTGTAGCCATGTACAATGGACGGGAAATTAAATAATCACAAATATAGTAACTGAATATATAACTGAATAAGGGCTGGCAACTTGTAACAAAAGAATAGATTCCGCTGTCCGCTCTGTGTCAGCCGGCATCAGGAACAGCATGAGCTCCTCCTTTAGATGACATCATTGCTGGACAATATGACATGTAGTCACTTAAAGGTCAGGCAGTCAGCTTGCACGTCCAAACACGCACCTCGTCGTATCCCATCCACCAAGACAGTCGGTTGGTGTGCGCATGAACATTTGCGGTGTCTCAACACATAGAGGCAGGACACAGGATCTGCTGCAATATGTTCCCCGCTGCTCCTCTATCTTGCTTTGATAGAGGAGTGATGGAACAAATCCGGGTTGTCCACCACACCAATGTATGTTTGTTGCTGTATATCGTAGAGGATGTATTATCATTTGCCACGTTTACATGTGTTAATTACACCACTATGTAATATTTAGTTAGCTGTCGAACTGTCTGCAAACAGTCCTGTTGTTTACACCGATACTTAATGTCATGTTTCCGGTCAGTTAATGCAATGGACGACATTTCCCTTTCTTACACACATAGCATGAAAGCTGAGCGAAAAAGTTTGTGATAGTTGTCTCCCTTATACCATAACAATCCTTCGGTCAAAATAAAACAGCTAAAGCTGGAACTATTAAGATTCCATGAACACAAAGAAAGTATATAATGTTTAAACTGCAATAGTGAATCTATGTACAGGTGAATCCATGTTATTCGGTAACTTGCGGTCGCTAGCCCCTTTATATTGTGTTCGTAACTGATAGTGACAATTGATTGATTGATTATGATAATATTGTTATTATACAATCCTTTTTGGAGACATAAATGGAAGTATGCTTAATATTAATATACGATTTGTCTCGTCACGATATTTCTGAATTATTGCCGATGTGGCGGTACATGTTTAATACTCACTCATTCCATAACCAACCCCCAATCCTAAATAAGACCACGCCCTGTTTTTATATTGGCTGATAACATTTTGCATTATTTCACTGATCCGATCTTGTACCCCTGTAATTCCTGCAATCCGATTTGCTGAACTTTCAACTGATAGTGATAATTGATTGTGATGATTGTGATAATTTTCGGCGGCAGGACTTAAAAAATGTCAGTATGCTTGATATCAATAATATGATTTAGTCTCGTCACGATATTTCTGAAATATTGCCGATGTGACGGTGCATTTAACTCACTCACTCCATACTCCACCCCCACCCCTAAATAAGGCCATGTCCACTAAATGACCACTGTTTTCATATTGACTGGTAATGTTGTGTATTATTGTTTTTCACTGAATCATAACACCGATCTCTAGCCCCTGGAATTCCAGTATTCTGATTTGCTGAATTGGTCATATGTTTTCAATTAGCAATGAGCATAAAAATTAAACCAAGCCCACCTCCTAATTTCAACTCAAGGGACAGCCGTGGAATTCCAATATTACAGTCGTACATACATGTACAACCGTTTCTACTTCACATGCATGTA